TACGTGAGTCTTCCTCTTCAACAAGTTATGTCAAAGCTCGTTGTTTTGCTTGTGGCTGTCTAAGGGTCTCTGGCTATAATCAGTAGCAAATGTGAACAGATGTGAGAAGGAGGTACGGTAGAGTCAGTGCTTGGTACTGATACGGCAGCAGAGTGATTGATTAGAATGATTGATACGAATCCTGAACCGATACTGCTCAAGATCACTAACTTGTTTATGCAAGCAAGGAGCTTCTAGTAAATGGAGCTAGACAACATCCATATGCCATATACAAATATTCATGTTTATGAAATGGCTCTCACCGTTGCGTTTCTTCGTCTTATAGTTAATCGATTCTGAGGTTTTCAGTCCACTTATGTTCAACATTATTATGCAATCTTGAGTGTGATCGCTACTTACACGATCGTTTAAATCAGCTTAAATTTCCATGAAAAGTTTCAGGTTTCGTTCTTTTTTAGGTAATGACTTGAGATGATGATTTTATTCCCTCAGGTATTATAATTTCTAGCTTCTTGACGTAAGACAAGGGACACCATTCGCAAGGCTTAGTTGAACAGGGAACGTGGATTCCAGTATTAATTCAACAATAAATGTTCTGGAGTAATTAGAACATGCCAAAAGATATGACGCTGGAGAACGGTTAATTGAAGATCCAGAAAAATTGAATCCGTTGTAAATGCTCGTAATCTTTATCACAATTAGTAAGTGTATGTCCTTAAGGAAAGAAATTTTTACTTTGTCGAGACACTGAGTTTGTGGTAATGCCTGGAAGACGTTGAACTCGGAGAAGTAGTTTTCATCCTGAAATAATGTGCCTTACGTAGATTGGGATGCCACTGGACGTCTTCTTCGAGGCAATGGATTTAGAAGAAGAGGAAAAGGTATGAAGTAAAGAGGGGAATGAAGAAAAAATTATTACACTGCCAAACGAATGCTGAAGATGAAACATAACCTTTGTGTCACGAAAGGATCAGAAATGATCAAACCTGTAATGTTTCAGTTTCTGTTTGTTTCCACTGAAGCAGAACAAGGGCAACCTATATCACTGACAATGACAGCTTGGTCATCGCAAATAAATCGATTTACAATGAATTGAGAATGTACAAATAAGTTGAATCCTTCAAACCTATAAGTAAGGGCATACGTAAATACATGACTAAACCGAAACTCACATATTACGTGAAATTTTACAATCAGCAAATGGTTTCTGCATTGCCTATGATATACCCGCCGTGCACTTTGCCTGAAATACAACATTTTAGTGTCACGGGTTCAAAGCTGAGCTCTGTTGAATTTCATTCATGCGGAATGCGGTTCGTTGCTCAGCTGCTCTCACGGATTCCAGATCGGCATTGTGCGCATTCAGAGGGAGCAAGAGTCATTTCCTGAAATTCCTCTTGTGTCGTTGATGACTTCTTCTATGGCAAACATTGGAAGTATTCGGAGGAGCAGATGTGTAAATGGTGCCAGATGGCAAAATGATGAGTAAAACAAATCTGAGAAATACGTTTCCAGCGGTAATTTGCAAAAATTGTCTCGCCATCCTGCGGAAGTTCGATATGCTCAAGGTGTTTCTCGAAATGTCGCTGTTCAGCAACAACTACT